CATGATCTCATGATCTTAATAATAATTTCGTTATAGAGATATTGGAATTTAAAAATCCTGATCGAAGCCGCTCTCAGTGTCAAATCTTCACATAATATAACAATCTGTCAACTTTGTTTATTGTGCGTTTTGCTTCTTTTTCGATAAATGAATTCTTTGACACGATAACGTCTTAATTATGTAAAGTGGCTTGAGATAGTATCTGCTATGGTTTCAAATAAAACTGGACTGAATCAGTTTTTTTTATCACAGTTATGGAACACGTATTATTTTACACGTTCTGTGATGTCATCGGACGTCCATCAGATAAAGACAGTTTATTTAAAAGACGCAGGAGTCGTCCATGACGTCCGTCTCTTCGTTCCGCAGGTTCAGGAGTTTCTGTCCAGATTCGAGAACATCCCTGACATGTTGGAGCTCGACCACCTCACCGTGTCCGGAGACGTCACCTTCGGGAAAAAGGTTTCCCTGAAGGTGAAGAACGTTCCCTGACTTTGTTTTACCATTTGAACTCTTTGGAATGTTTTATTCTTCCTCTTTGGGAACAGACTGTTTGGAAGCTGCTGGTTGATACCAATGTTGTTATAAGACTGAAACTCAGTGTGTGGAGGTCAATAATTGAAAATTCTTCTGCGATATGAAACAAACCAAATGTGATGATTTGCTTCCTGCCGTCACGTTTGTCTGTTTGACGTCAGGTTTTACGACATCTTCACTGTTTATTCAAACTTTTTCTTTTCGTTACCAGGGAACCGTCATCATCATCGCCAATCACGGCGACCGCATCGATATTCCTGCCGGAGCGATGCTGGAGAACAAAATCGTCTCAGGAAACCTGCGGATCCTCGACCACTGAGGCCTTCTGGGAAAAAAAGAAAAGCTTATTGCACCTTAAAGAGACGTTAAAAAAGATTTCTTCTCTTGGAGATGAACGGCAGGAAACCGTCAGTCACAGTTTGTTGTGTCTGTTTTAATGTGTGATCAGCCTGAAAGGGTCAAAGGTCAAACTCCTTCCTGACGCTTCACAAGGTTTTCAGGGGGAAAGTTGCTGTTACTGCAAACGACCGAGTCCGAGCCGACCGTGGTCGACTTTCTCATGTTCCCAAATAAAAATAACTCGATGAAACACAGCGTTGGGTCACATGATTTGGTTTAGTGTCGGGTTCAGGATTTAGAACGTTTAGATTCTGTAGTTTAGATTTTTTTATTTTTTAAGTCAGGTTCTGCCACAGACGCATCGAACGAGACGCACCAACGAGTTTGATATATCAGTTACACACACACACACACACACACACACACACACACACACATCACCTAACATTTGAATCTTTTTTCTGAATCATTTTACGTAAATAACATAAATATGAAAAGAATCAAATGTTTTCAGCTCTAAAAACTTGATTTGTAAAGAAACACAACAAACACAAAATACAAAGAAAAAAAACCACAACGGGAAAACAAACGTAAAATTCAAATTCCAGTTCGTGAAGATGAATTTTAACTAAACTTCAGTGATTAAAAACTGTAACAGGAAGTTAGTTCTGAAAAAGTTTGGCTGCGCTCGATGATTTAAATAAACAAACATAAACATAATAAATAAACATAAGATCTAAATCCACACCTGAGACGATATTCAAATATGACGTGCTTCATCAGGACTATAAAAACATTTTCTGATCTGTGGACGGAGAGATCCGAAATCCTACGAGGTCTTGTTTTCAGAATAAAAGCAGTAAATGAAAACTTTACATTCATTGAATTATAGCTGTGAATAAATGAAGAACCTGTGCTTCTGTCAAAAATACTTCATCTTACCTTCCACAGATCCTTCAACCGTCTTACAGTAACTATGTTTTCATGTTTTAATACTCCACAAACCAGTAAAATAAAATCCAGCTCTTCACTCTTCTGAACGTGTTAACAAAATAAAAGTCCTAGTTCAAAGTGCTTGACTCAGGTTCACACTGGATGAAAATGACATTTGATTGGAACCAGTGGCTCCTCCCTCCTCGTTCAATACAGATTGGACAGGTCAGTGACTCTTCCTGACGTCTCCTCCTCCCAGTCTTCAGACCAGTTTTCCCAGTAAGAAGGAGAAGGCTGCTCCCAGAGCCAGACCCAGGACCAGGAAGAAGGTCATCAGAGAGCCGGTGGTCTCACGGTCCTTACGGTGCACCAGCCTGACGACAGACACACGAGGTTACAACACGTCCACCTTAATGAATGTTTTGTGAAGCCACCGTGAAATTCCCTCCGGGTTTCTCTGATATATTAAGTTTACAAGAACGTGAGGTCACCTAAACCGAATCAGTTCATATTTGAGTCCTAGTGAACAATTGCTCTTAGTTTGAAAGGATTTCCTGTTTGTGTTCCTGAGAGATCGCGTTCACAAGGACATTGAGAGACCGCTGCACTATTCGCTTTCACTCAGTCGCCTGTAAGACTTTTGTTTGTGTCGCTAACGTTGGATAAAACCTGAGCTAACGAGCTGTTGACACATTTAATGAAACAACTCGTGAAGAAGACTCACTGGGGAGCGTAGGCCATGCAGAGGGAAGCCAAGTATCCATTGGAGAAGGAGAACAGGGCCATGATGGTGATGAAGGCACAGTCGTGGCCGAAGAGGACGGTGAGTCTGGAGTTGTTGATGTTGCACATCATGACCACAGGGATGAAGACCAGACGAGACGCCACAGTGACAGGAAACAGGAAGCTCTCCTTAGAAGGCTGCAGCATCAACAGAATTCATGAAGTTTGACGTTCAGGCGCAACAACGAGCGACGACGACAAAGACTGAGGCGGCGTTCAAACAATCAGATTCATCATCAGTCTGTTCACATACTTGATGTGTGCTTCGCGTGTTACTTCAGTAACACACCTGAACACACGTGTCACATGACCACATCACGTGGTGTCAGCACAAAGTGGATTGTTTACTTTGCAGTTGGTTGCTAGGAAGTGTTAGCGACGGACAACGGACTCACCCATTGGACGAGAGACGGGGCTGCGCGGCCGGCCAAGTCCATGACGTTAAAAACGATGAAGCAGCAAATACAAGTGAAGACTTTGTCTGTCAGACAGAAAGCAGGGCTGATAAATCCCACCGTGCACAAAAGAACACCACACTGCATTTCCCATCAGCCCCCAGAGGAAGAGGAGTCTCACCCCAGGCAGCGTTGTCCTTGTAGACGGTCTGGACTCGGACTGCGATGACAGGAAACACCGACAGGGTGACGGTGAACACGCAGGTGATGCACAGAGCCATCGACCAGATCTGAGAAACACAGGAAGGACCAACGGACCAATGCAGAGAAGAAAACACGTTTGTTCCGCAGCTCAGACGAACGATAACGTACGTTCGTCCCTCGTCTTTCTGTCGTTTGTGTGGAACTGAGACGTTTATTTTACATTCAGGTGAAAAGGTCGTCACCTTCTTGAACACGGCGAAGACAGAGGAGCGCTCTGGACTCTCCTGCGTTTCACTGAGGAACTTCCCGTTGGTTTCGAGGTCTTCGCCGCTTACGACCTTTTTGTCTTTAAAAAGAAACATAAATGAACGCGTCCGTCACTGAGTTTACATTTAATTAAATGTTGCAGAAACAGACGTACCGGTGCTGTCCATGAGTTCCTGCGACGTCTCCGCCTCACACTGATTCCTGTTCAGGTAAAAACGAGCAAAGTCCTGAGGAGGAAAATAAACGGACACATGTTGAATTCATTACGTTTCGAATGAATTCAACATGTGATCCTTCATCAACTCAATCAAACATAAGAAAGACATTTTTATTTTTTTATATTTCCAAACTAGAACGACTCATTCGTGGTTGTTCGTCTCCGTCAACCTGTAAAGTTCATGTCTGTAGACTTCGTCTCTCGACTTGATAATATCACGACAGTTAGTCACTGAATGTGTATTTTTACCTCATTACTATTTATTACTACTCTCAACATTAGACCCTGGGAAACATTTATCTTGTTCGCTTCTAAAGACTCTGTATATTTTGGGTACATTATATTTCCAGACACAAATAAAGTGGTGTCGTAGTAACGTGAAATAATTGTTGGTACTTTTATATTTGGGTTCGGGTTCAGGCTCGTCTCGTGTTGGAAGTGATGAAACAGTTTCTGTGAACTTGAAGCTTCTGCTCAACAAAGACAACAGCGGTTAACTATTATCCGTTAGCGTTTATCAGAACCATCAACGTCACAGGTCGAATTCTGGAGTCATGACGAAGTTTGTAATATCGCGTTTTTTAAAGGACAGGCTGACGACAACCAGCTGAACGTTAACGCTGGAACAGAGTCAAAATAACGAACCCATCAGACTGAACATGGAAAACAATCCTTCTCATCAATTTCAGAAATATGTAATGTCTCCTCCTCACCAGGTGGGGCAGCAGCAGGTAGCAGAGCAGCGTCCCCAGAGTGGCCACACACGGAGCGATGAAGTATCCCAACGCAGCCGAGCTTTTATCTGCGTTACCTGAGACGGAGTCACAGACGTTACTTATGTTTATTACTTTGGTTTATTACTTTGGTTTATTACTTTAGTTTATTACTTTGGTTTATTACTTTAGTTTATTACTTTGGTTTATTACTTTGGTTTATTACTTTAGTTTATTTTGCTTCACGCAGTTGGAGAAGAGATTC